GAGCTAAATAGAACACTAATAAATTATTTGTTAAATTTTAAAATTGCAAAATAAAATGTGAAATATTTCGAATTTTAGCATACACAATATGTAAAATTTGAAGTAAAATACATCTACTTTTAGTTAAACTGCATTAAAAAAAAACTAAAAACAAAGCCCAAAAATCCATAAAATAAAATTGTTAACTTTTCAAATAGCCAGAGATTAGCATGTGAGACTATACAGAATTTAATCAATATACAATAGAGTGCCATGATTCAACACATACATATACATTCACAAATAGCACTTGAAACTGCCATTTTTTATTTCTTTTGAAACAACATTCAGAAATTTTTGTATTCAAAGTCCTTAGTACGAAGATTTATCGACAGGATCAGACCCCACAAGCCGAATAGTTTCCGAATCTATTAACAAGTCGAGTGATGTTAGAGAATGAGGAGAAAGAACAACGTCCATTTCCTCCCCTACATCGTCCATGTCAGCTTTACTCGGTACAACCTGTGCAAAAAAAAAAAAAGAGACGAGGCATTTTTTTCGAAAAGTTACAAGAATCGAAACTTAGAAAGTGAAGAACGCAAAATTAGCAAATGACCAAACATTGATGGTTTTGATTGCAATTTTTTTTTACTATAAGAAGTGAATGAATATCATGAAAGTCTTTGGAAATTGGGTATTCTTTGCAATAAACCTTGGGTTTACTCTAATATAAACCTAGCTTATAACTTTTAAGTGAATTTCAAGCTTATAGCTGATAGCTTATGACTCATGACTAAAAAGCTAGCTTATATGAATATCATGAAAGTCTCTGGTTTTTTAACAAATGCACCATCACCATGAATATTTGTTACAATTTTCCGGCTTCCAAAGCTTGTCGGGGAATTTATATAAAGAAAAATAAACCTCAAAATGGAAATTTTTGTAGGGTAAACTCACTCGAGTATATTGCAACTAGGCTAAAACCGATTATAATGGTTCAAGCGAACAAGTACCTTATTGGGAACTTGGAAAGAATTCTCATCCATCACGTTGCTTGAAGTTAATACGGTCTTTGTCGACCCGGACGATTGCAAAGAGTTCACCTCCAATCCCACAATTGAAACTTGAAGTGTCACAGTATTGCTTCCAAAATTCACCACCTGTGAAAATATCTTGAGATGTTAATTTTGTGTGAAATGACTTGGTACATAATTTGGTCATGAAATTATTATTCAAATTATTGCTAATTATATTCTGTTTCTATAATTCCATTTAACAAATTACACATTCACCAAGGTATTTGTAATTGTGCAAGATACAAAGAACCTTTATCATTAAAAGGATAAAAAAAGAACCAAAAGAAAAGTTACAAAAACAACTATACAAAGTTGACAAAGTAGAAAAAAAGCAAGCAAACCTTTATCATCAAGTGCTTCTTGTTATCTGTATCTTTCCAAGTGATAGCAGAGGCAATAAGAGTACCCGAAGGGTTCGATTGCAGGGTCGAACTAAGAAGTGTGGCCCCATTCGAGGCCTTGAAAAAGTGCTGCATCCAGTAACTAGGAGTCCCGTACAGCTGAGACGAGTCGAAAACGATTGCATCGGGATTCCACCTACCCCAAAAAAAATAAAAAATAAAGGTCCCACTAATTAGAATTTACTATTAAGGAAGCAAATAATTTGAAAGGCATGAAAAGTTAAATTCGAATGAAATCAAATAATAAGAACAATAGAAAAGTACGTACGTTCTGTCATTGGTGTTCACAAATAAAGGTGCGTAGCTCGCCATTTCTACGGCATCACTGTCCAAGAGCAAAAAAAAAAAATAAAAAAAAATGCAAAACTAATGGAAAAATGTATGAAGTTAATATATTTAGAAATAAAGATTTTTCGGATCAAAATTGCAACATACCAATTTTTTTCAAGACCAATAAGAAAACCAGCTTCAGCTAGAGCCGCCAAAAGACTACCTTTTCCTGCATCATTCCCAGTGACGGCATATTCACTCACAAATGCCTGCACCATTCGAACCATTTCGTGAACATAATTAACCAACTCTTCACCTAATTAACTCTTAATTCTTTTTAAGTGAACATAATAAGCAAACCTTTGGACCATTTCGTGATGCTCGGTCAAATTTCTGGGCCGAAGCAAAGACATTATTTGCGCTGCTATAAATCTAGCAGCAAGAGAACATATGATAAGAAAATAAAAAAAAAAAAAATCTAATGATATTCAATGCTAGTATAAGGGTGAATTTTTCTTACATGATAATCGTATAAATCAGCTGGATGATCCAATGGCTGGGAGGAGCCATCACAGTTTGATATTACTTTGATGTCCGGATATGCATTTTTAATGGCGGCATAGAACTTGAGGTAATTTCCTTCATCACCACACAATAAGTCTTTCAAAAATACCGATAAAAAATGATTATGCATTTGAGGAAGAGTTCGTGATAAATTTTATCAGTGA